AGCACACGTGTACACATGTTGCTCATGCAAGTGAATATACGTGTGCACACACCCATGAGCTCCCCGGCTATTTCCACAGCCCCGTTGCAAACTTCTCATAGGCCACTTGTGGGTTGTGGCCCACAAGTTGGGGGCTCCTGATCTAAGGGACTGCTGGTATGTCCTGATCATTCAAATCTGTACATGATCTGAACAAAAAAGACCTTTCTTACCTGTCTCTCTCCATCAGTGTCTTTTTTGGCAATCCGTGCATAATCCCAGCGGTTCCTTGTGTGTGCCTCATATTCACTGTAAGTCATGGCCCCATCTTCAATGATTAGGTGAGGGTGATGAGGTTCTTTAAGGAAAAAGCAAGGAAGATACACAACAGTCAGAGTGATTCAGAAGTATCAGAATAACTGGATTGGAAGGGACGTTGGTGGTCTTCTAGTCAAACCCCCTGCTCAAGAAAGAGACCCTATACCCGTGAGGCTTTTTTCACTCGTGCTGGCTGCTCTGTTCCCCCCTCTCCCCCCTGCTACTAAAAGGGATCCTGCCTGATCGCTGGAATCCAAAGGGAAATGAGGAGAGAGCTGCCAGCATGGGGGAAAGACAAGCGGCAAGGAAAGAAGAGGCTTCTTTCACTCAAGATGGCTGCTCTGTTGCCTTTTTCTCCATTTCAGTGCCATGCCATTGAGGTTGCTCCACCCACCATCGCCCAGGTCCTCGCTTCTTCCAAGCATTTCTTTGCCTACCTGATTTCCATCTCCATCGCATTTCTTGCCATCGTGTGCAGGGAAACAAAGTTTGTGGGACTAAAAAAAACTTCAATCAATTACAACTTGGGGTGGGGGGAGAGATCCCGCAAAGTTGGAATTGATTGATTGAAGGGTTTTTTTTAGTTCCACAAACTTTGTTTTCCTGTCCCAAACGGCAAGAAACATGATGGAAAAATGCTACGGAGAGGAAATTAGATAGGCAAAGAAATGCTTGGGGGAAGCGAGGACCTGGGCAATGGTGGGTGGGGCAGGCTCCATGGAGTGGTGCTGAAATGGAGAAAAGGGCAACAGAGCAGCCACCTTGAGGGGAAAAAGCTCTTTTTCTTATTTCCTTGCTGTTTGTCTTTCCCCTGTGCCAGCAGCTCCCTTCCTCATTTGTCTATTGATGTAGTGGCCAGGATCCTCTTTAATAGAGGGGGGAATTTAGCAACTGGACTCACACCTGCTGGAGTAAAAAGGGCCCAATCTTTACACAGAAGAATGATAAGGGAAGGTTTTTTGACACAGGAGCACACTTGAGCATCCCCACCCCCACCCCAATCTCTGCCCGTTTGTGGCAGAGCTGACAGGCCGATATCTTCAAAACTTGGCAAGGAGTCTCAGAGAGTCACAAACCAATTAAGTGAACAAATTGTCTCCTGCAAACTCCACTCCCTTTTCGCTCCTCTTTTATTTCCTCTGGGAGGGGCCATTCATAGTCCACCTGTGGCCTTACTCCCAAATCGGCCCTTGCTCCTTAGCTGTTCCCTTTGTCTTGCAACTCTGTGCATGCGCACACTGGGAACAGGCTCCAGCTGTTCGTCTGCCTCACTGATGTCTGATTCCGAAAGCAGCTTATAACTGTCGGGCAGCCACATTTCTGCCTCTGACACAGAGCCCTCGTCCGAGCCTTCCCCAGACTCCAGGACTGGCGCATGTTCCTCCCCAATCTCCTCACTGTCCGAATCTGCTGCCAGCTCCTCTGGCTGCTGGCAGGCCACAACACCCTGGCTTTGAGGGATCTCTTACCAGAAGGATGCAAGATGATTTCCAGGTTCTTGTCGTAACTGTGCTTATCTGCCAAAGTAATGCATATNGATGCATAGAGTGCTCACAGGGGATAGCTCCCCAAAGAAGTCAATATTGATCAAAATTTTTAGCAATGGGTTCTCTGCCTGGTGGCTGGGTGGGCTTGGCCATGGTGGGTGTAGCCTAGTCGGGGGCGGGGTGGGCAGGGCCAGCCAGGGGTAGGATTTGCGGGTTTGCTAAACTGGGCAGATCCCGTGCGAACCCGTAGCAGCCCACCCAGGGGTGGGTTGCTGCCGGCATTACTGCCGATTTGGTGTGCGCGCAATTTTGCATGTGCTCATCAACGCACCAGAGGGGCACTTGGTGTGCATGCGCAGTTGCCCATAAATAGGTCTGTGCATGTGCAGAACATTAAAAATTGGGGGGGGGGGACATGCTGCGCTGAACGAGGAACTAGTTCAGAGGCATGGCAGGCTGGGTTGCTGCCGGTTCCGGCGACCCAGGCTGGCAAACCACTATCAGTTCGGCCGAACTGGTCTAAACCAGTAGGAAACAACCTCTGAGCCCACCCCTGATATTGACCCCTCCAAGGGTCAATGGGACTATCCATTGTTATTTATAGTACTATTAGTTACAATGGTATGTGTTAAAATGTCATGTAACTTGGAATCCTGCATCCAGTTTTGGTCACCATGTTACAAACAAGATGTTGAGACTCCAGAAAGAGTGCAGAGAAGAAGAACAAAGATGATTAGGGGACTGGAGGCTAAAACATATGAAGAACAGTTGCAGGAACTGGGTCGTTTAATAATGATGAGAAGGTCCAAGGGTGACATGATAGCAGTCTTCCAATATTTGAGGGGCTGCCACACAAAGGGAGTCAACCTATTCTCCACAGCAGCTAAAGGCAAGAAGCAATGGGTGGAAACTATTCAAGGAGAGAAGCAACCTAGAATTAAAGAGGAATTTCCTAACTGTGAGAACAATTAACTGATGGAACGGCTTGCCTTCAGAAGTTGCTCAGGCTTCACCACTGGAGGATTTTAAGAACAGATTGGACAACCATTTATCTGAAATGGTATAGGGCAGTGATAGCGCAGAGGGGTCGTGCCGCACCCATAATGCACATGCGTGCATGAGAGGCGCTCCCCCCCATTTTTTGCATGCTTTTTTCGCTCTCCCCAGCCTCCAGAGGCTTTATAGGAGCCTGGGGAGGGCGAAAACAGTCTCCCCTGCCTCCCCCCCCGGAGGCCTTCCGGGGGCTTCAGGGACCTTCAGGAGGGTTCTCTGAAGCCTCCGGAGGCCCCAAAATGATCCTACGAGCAAACCGGAAGTCCGTTCCTGAACTTTTTGTTTGCCCATAGGACTGTTTTTTTGCACTCCGGAGGCTTCAGGGAAGTTCATGAAGCCTCTGAAGGCCTCGGGGGGGGAGGAGGGGGGGCTCTTTTCGCCCTCCCCAGGCTCCTATAAAGCCTCTGGAGACAGGGGAGAGCGAAAAATGGCTTTAAAAAAGGCTGAACTCAGCTGGCGCGAATGCGTGCTGGCCAGCTGAGAGGGCAACGCCTTGCGTGCCCTGGCAAATTTTCAACTTTTTTTCTCCAAGCGCCATAGACTCTGAGAAAGCCATGAAAATCACCATAGGGCCAACCTGTCGTCACACAAGCTTCTTGTTTCACTTTCACTTTCAGGCACGGCTACAACTAAAGGCATGAGTACGGATGGGAAGAAGACATGCATGGCACCGTTGGGCAGGGTTGCCAGCTCCTGGCTGCTGCTGAAGAGCACCGTCAGAGTCTCGGAGGGCTCAATGAGGCCTGTGCTGACGACGAAAGTAGACCGTGCCTGGTCTCCATCAAGGATCAAATGTCCTAGGTAGAAGAGAGAAAATAGTTACGAATATCCAGCGTCTTTGAAAAGACCACTCTCTACGGTCTGCATAGAGAGAACTGGAATCATCATTACACACTTTCTTCCTGTCCCTATTTGATCCCGACTATTAGAGTGGCAAAATTTTAATACACGTGTCATTTATTGAACTCATTTCAAACATTTACAAAAAGAATAGTTAAAAAGGCTTAGGGCAAATATCCCTTTGAGCAGAGGGGATAATCATTTTAAAACAATTGTCTTTCAGCAGAGTCACTTAAACCAATGTTATCATCCCCTGGAGCAGTGATGGCTAACATTTTTGATGCCAAGTGGCCAAAGTGCTTGCGCATGCACACAAATGCATCCACGCGCAAACCCAAAATGCAATGTGAGTGCCCCCATGCATGTGCCTCACCCCACCCCCTGCGCATGTGCCCCTGCACGTATGCACCTTTACCCCCATGCATGTTCCCCCCCCCGCTCATTTTTGGCTTCCAGGTTGGTGCAGGAGCCATTCCAAGCCAAAAACAGGGCACAGGGGGGCCCTTGCACGGCCTCCGCACCCTGTTTTGGCTCCCGGGTTGACACAGAAGGACTTCGAGGCTCAAAACCGGGTATGGGGGAGGCACGTGCACATGCGAGAACCCCCAAAATGCAATGTGAGCACCCCTGCACATGTGCCCCTCTGCCCGCGCATGCACAGGTGCATCCACCACATACGACCCGCATGCATAGCAGAAACCCAAGGCCAGCTGGCCAGCAGGAGGCGAGCACGCATGTGCGGTGGAGCTGGGGTGGGGTGACTTCTGGCATGCCCACAGGGAGGGCTCTGCGTGCCACCGCCTACTGCCACATACCTCCCAGCGGCCATGATTTGCCATCATGGCCCTAGAGGGTCTCCAAACTGACAGCTTGAAGACTTGTGGACTTCAACGCCCAGAATTCCTCAGCCAGCCATGGTGATTGAGGAATTCTGGGAGTTGAAATTCACAAGTCTCCAAGTTGCCAAAGTTTGGAGACCCCTGCCCTACATCATAGATCACCTTTTCTTTTACCCTGGAGCAGGGTTTCTGAACCTTGGCAACTCTAAGATGTCTGGACTTCAACTCCCAGAATTCTGATGAGATTTGTCTAGTTTGGTTGAACCTCTCGTATGGCTCTCATCTTCCTCAGCAACCACTGCTTGCTCAACGTGAACAAACCACACAATCACCCATAACTGGCCATCAGTAGGGCCCCTTAGCACTCCTCTGGAAAAATCAGAATACTGAACTGTGGAAATTGAAGTCCAAACATTTTAGAGTTGCTAAGGTTGAAAGTCATTGCCCTGGAGGAACCCTTATGGAGAAACTCTTGAAATAATTTGTAACTCTCAGGGAAGTCCTGCATAAAATTCAGTTCTGTACTGTTCTGCTCTGCTCATCATTCAACACATTTATATGTGTTGCCCAACTCACACAGTGAATCTACAGCATGCACTGTGTGGTAAGCAAAGTTTATTTTATAATAAAATAGTTGATAACCCGACGATGCTTGGGTATTTATCTATAGGGGGAAAATGTCTGGGCCAAACGTAATTTCTAATGTTGGATTTTCCCCTTACCAGAAGGAGCCCCCTTAAGGAGTACTGTGCAGCTGTTACCATGGCGTAGTGGCAACTCCACTACGCTGTACAGTAGAAGTCATTTTACGGCAGTACAGTAGAAGCCATTTCAAGGCACAATAGGCTGTATCTTAACAGAACACACACCCTGAGGGGTGTCTTACCCCCACAGTATTTGTTTCCAGGGAGTAAGTCATCTGTGTACCACGTTTGGTTAAAATTGCTCGAAGAGTTCCAGAGTTATGCTGGAACATACAGACACGCAGCCATTTTTATATAGATAGATAAAATGTTTATTTTTTTCCCCCAACCATAATTTTCTGCAAAGTTCCCATGACATCTCATCGAACCCTGGAATTCTATAGAATCTAATCGAGAGAGGCTGCTATAGATGCAACGCTTAAGGAGGGTCCGTTGACTGAGATGAGAAATCACTTCAATGTGTGTTCATGGAGGCATTGATATTCCTGCTTTGCTCATAGCTCACTATCCCTCTATTCTACCTCTCTAGCGGACTGCTGAAATCTAGTGCTATTAGAAACGGGAACCTATCAATCTTTATACGGAGAAAAGTCACCTTTCGGGACTTTTCCACATCAAGAAAATGCTTTGGGGAGTCCATCCAGAGCAGGTTCCAAGCCCCTATTCTTTTCAGGAGTCCTGGGTACAGAGCTCTGCTAGGCGATATGTGACCCCCCACCAACCGTTACTGCAGCGGAGCGGCTGGTTGCAATTCGTGTTACAGTCAAGGCAGCAATCATCCACTGGAGGCCGGGTCTGGATCTGGAAGGTGCAGGTTCTGTTTCCTGTCTTTGCTTCAAAGCTTGAGATCACCTCGGACTCCTCCAAGGGATAGACGAATACTCCTGTGCCAAAGAAACCAGGGAATGTAAGCTGACTGTGTACCTCTTACCCAGAGGTGGTATTCTACCGGTTCGGACCGGTTTGCCGGAACCGGTAACGGAAATTGCGGATGGACACACGTTAATCTTACGTATCTTCTTATTGTGAATAAGAACCTGCACAGGAGCCAAACACTCATACCTTCTTGGGAGCATCCAGGATGGAAATTATGGAGGTTGAAAGTTGCTATAGATCAGGTCTGATGTTGCTGAATATCCAGCTTGGCCAAAGTGAAGGATGATGGAAACCATAGTTTTGCTACATGTAAAAAGCTACCCTACAAAGAGCCATGTTGGTGCAGTGGTTAGAATGCACTATGGTAGGCTAACTCTGCCGACTGCCAACAGTTTGATCCTGACCGGCTCAAGGTTGACTCAGCCTTTCCTCTTCCCAAGGTCAGTAAAATGAAAACCCAGAGGGTTGGGGACAATATGCTGTCTCTACAAATCACTTNGAGGACTACCTATGTTCTAACACATATTGCATTAAACCTTATGATCTTGTCTGCTGGTGCACACACAGGACTGATTCGATTAGGAAGACCGTGGTATCTATGCATGGTAAATGAACTTGTCCACGGCTACCCTCCGTCCAAACATGTCTTCTATTTGTTTGCCCTATGGCAAACAAAATGGCGGCTTTCCTGTTGGCCTGATAGGACTTTTTGCTTTTTAAATTTTATTTTTAAGGAAATGTGTATTAACAATTGGCTGCCCAACTTATTTGAATGAACACTATAAACTGGTTAACTATGATTGACATGAATGTGAAAGCATCCAAAGCATCATTGGATGGCACCCATGGAATATCCCTGTAATGAAAGATCATAATTTACTGAATACCAGTTCCTGAGAAATGTCAGCATCATTACAATGTGGCCAGTGCTTCACAAGATGGCAGCTGTTTTGCTATATCATTATGCAAGGAATGGCTGAAAAAAAATCCAAGCCATAGGCTACTTCATTGTTAGGCATTTTAGCAAACAAGAGCGCAAGTATCTTTGATATAGGAATTCTGTGATTAGAATTTTGTTTCAGAAGGAGGAAAAGAAAACAACCCCATAGGCACAAGCATAATTACAACCAAATGTCAATGTGAAATTTGGTGCTCCCAAAATATCTCCTTTTAATTTGGGGACACACTAGCTATTTTGTATTCCTGAGTTTGGTAAACAGAATAGTTAAAAGAGAAAGATCAAAAAGAACCCTGTTAGATTTGACTGCTTTCTCCATCTTTGGAGAGCAACATACAAGGTCTGTTTCGAATTTTGTGGTTGCGTCCTTTTATTAGGTAATGACCAATTCCTGCATTCCACAGTGAAGTGACCCAAACTGAACCTGAGTTCAGGCAACTTGTCCAGCCTTCTTCTCTTCACCCCACTCTAGGAATTACGAGCACAATGTGTATGTTGATTCTAAATGCACCAAAGAGTCGGAGGGCTTCACCAAGTTTTATCAAAGTGTTCATTGTGCTGTTCATAAGTGCTTAGTGCTGTTTGGTCATCTGGAGCTACAGATCCTGATTAGGCAACAATCAGATGAGAGGGTTGTCCCGAGACGGGCTGTAACATCGACAAGCTCAGCAAACTGAAGCCAGAACAAAGTGACTCTTAGGGTTTTGCAATATGAACAGCTATAGATTAGATTTATTTACTTAAAAAGCAACCTGTGTGTCAGTACATGGTGATGTGGAACACTATGTTGATGTGCAAGGTAGTCCCTAACAATCTTAAATTGCATAGAAGTGTGTGTGTGTGTGTGTGTGTGTGTGTGTGTGTATGCCGGTGGTAACATTTGACTACTGTGTTTCCCCGAAAATAAGACAGGGTCTTATTTTCTTTTAACTCCCAAAGTGAACAATTAGCTTTATTTTCGGGGAGGCCTTATTATTTTTGAGGTGCAGGAGGCAGTGAGTGTGGTCACCTCATGGCGGCTGCTGTGTTGCAATATTTTTGGGAAGGACTTATTTTCAGGGGAGGATTTATTTTAGCTCATGCACTCAAAAGCCCAATTGGGCTTATTATCCAGGGGGGTCTTATTTTCAAGGAAACACGGTTCTATTGTCTTTATTAGGAGGAAATGTAGCATAGATATGGGGAAAATTGGTAACTTAGCCTACATATTTTGGTACAATCAAATGTAATAGAAAATGCTTTAAACCTTCAGTTGACTAAAGGTGACCGCAGAGATCAATATGTATGGACCCATCAGGTGATGACTATGGCATGTGGAAGGCTGACTTGGAACTTAAAAAGATAATAAAGAATGTCAATTAACAAATGAAATAAAAGAAGTAGATATGCTATATGGCTAGGAAAGTAAGAGAAAGGGGAAGAAAACCTCTTCACCGGTAATCAACTCCTAGATAATCAGGGTTTAAACCAGACAGACAAATTGTAAACAACAGCCTAATCAAAGAACTACCAAAAATAAAAGCAACACCACCAATATTGTTCTATATAAACAAAGACCAAGCCTCACTTCCTTCTAGCATTGAAGATCTTCCCTAGTTGAGTAACCAAATGTCTGCAAGCAAACTAAGGAAGCTCAAAGAAGACCAAGGACCTCACTAGAGAATTTAATTGGAAGCTTGCCTGTTCCCGTAGAGAAGAGGTGAGCATACATGCTAGGAGGCTATAGTCTTAATTATAAGTGAAAGGTCTAAAACATACATGAGAAAATACGAATGGGTGTCAGTTAAATTGATGCTTATGATTAGAGGAACCATATAGCTCCATCGAACAGTGAGAGAATCAGTGAATGTGATCTAGGTGGAAAAATATTCTATGAATGTATAGGTGGGAGTGAAATGAGGTACAGAAATAATGATTGGGTCATTCAAAATTCCAAGAATCGCTGCAAATGTTGACTTTTGACCATTTATTTAGAAAATATCTAATTAGATCAGGTGTATCCAATCTGCAGTCCATGGCCAATACAGCCCTACACGATAATAAACTCTTCACATCATTATGTAATTTATATACATTAATTATATATTTTATATATGGCCTCTTCCTCTTCACTCAATGTAGCCCAGGCAAACCAAAGGAATGGATGTGCATGGATTCGACTATGTAGTTTAATAATATACATAAACATGACAAATAAATAAACACCTGAAAACATGGGTTGAGTTTGATCTTTTTTGGTGAAAAATTGAGAGAATTGGCATAGCATATAAGGGTGGAATTGTAAAATTATATGATAGTGTCAGTCATGGATCTTGGAAAAATTGTAGAGAAAGAAAAAGTCCTTGGGTTACAGTAGTGGTCCTAACCTTTCCGGCTCCATGGACTAGCAGTGGCGGCGGGGAGGAGTGGATAGTTTCGTGCACACACACAAAGCTTGTGCAAATGGAGCTTCCTGCATTTGCTTACCACTTGTGCAACCTGGTTGCCAACAGGCCACGGACCAGGTGTTGGGGACCTCTGGATTATAGGATTGTCATTGCTAAGTAATACAGTTATAAAGTGTAATATGTGCCCGCATCACTTAATGAAGGCTGTCTTGGTTGCTATTGGTAACCCCAAGATAATGCTGTTTAAATGGGAATAGATGGAAACTCCAGATAAGGAGCCATGGGGATGATGAGTGAATTCACGTACCAGTACAGGTCTCAAATCAGTATGATATGTAAAAAATGAGGATGGGAAAAAGTTAATGGTGTTTACAAAGAAAATTGAAGAAATGTTAATGTAGTATAAAATGGTTGTGCAATTAATACAGATGTGAAGACTGGATTTGCCTGGTAATTAGAAGGATGCTGCTATTCCTAAAGAGAAGGTGGCAAGAATGAATATAAAGACAACAGGATAGCCATAATTCTGACTAAATTCTGTTGGTGATTGTGGGACATTTGGGAAGTATGATGAAGCTTTTTGCTGGCTAGGAGGTATACAAGTCACATTTTCGATCTTCAGCGAGTAATTGAGAAATGAATGTGAGATATGAAAGAAAGCATTCTGTACGTGCATTGATTTAGAAAAGGCATATCATAAAGTAAGTGGACTTGAATATTCTCCACGAATGTGAAACTGAGGATTGGTTGCAGAGTGCAAAAAGGTGATACAATGGAACGCATGAAAATGAATGCTTAGCAACAGGCTCAAAGCTGTGATGGATTAAGACAAAGCTTAATGTCTTTCTGACTTAGATTGTATAGAAGTATGTAAAGGGAGTTTTTGGTTCAGATTTGTCATTTGGATATGTAAACGTAGGTGTACTTTTGTATGCAGATGATCCTATAGGTTCTAGTGGTTAAGGCAGGGGTGTCAGACTGGATTTCTTCAAGGGCTGGATCAGCACTATAGTTCTCTGTGGGCTGACAGGGTGGGAAGCGGGGGGGAGGGGGAGTTGGGATGGACGCCTCCTGCACCACTCTGCTAGTCAGAAACGGACCATGCGGAAGGCCCGTGATGCCCGTTTTGGGCTCCTCGGTCTCCAGCACTCTGCCTGCCAAAAACGGGCTGCATAGAGGCCCCATGAGGCTCCCCCATGGCCTGTTTTCAGGCTCCACGGCCTTCTGCAGCACTCTGCCGGCCAAAAACAGTGGCCTCGCGGGGCTTCTGCGCCGCCTGTTTTTGGCTGGCAGAGGCACCAAGTGCCGTTCCTTTGATATTCCCAGGCTGGCCCCACAGACCAGATTTAAGCACTCTACGGGCCAGATCCTGCACGTGGGCCTTGAGTTTGACACTCCTGGGTTAAGGCATCGGGCAAGAAAGGAGGGGATCATGAGTTCAAGTCCTGTCTTAGCCAGCTGGGTGACCCTGGGCCAATTACTCTCAGCCCAACCCACCTCACAGAATTGTTGCGGGAAAAATACAAGGAGGAAAGTTTGTTGGATATGTTTGTTGCCTTGAGTTATTTGTAAAAATAATAAAGGTGGGGCAGAAGCAACCCCAGTGATTTGCAGTGCATTTTAGATGATTGTAAATGATTGTATTGGAAACCATGGTAGTTGCATTTGACAGGGAAAACTTGAATTTTCAAAACTTGAGAAGACTTGTAAAAAAAAACACCTAGAGGAAATAGATGTGAGTAACTTGATAAGCTGTTGAGATGAGAAGATGAGAAAATGAAATTTCAGTGCATGCACGCGGGAAACTTAGTATGTAGTTTGTGGTCTGTTGCATGGAAATATGCTTGATAATCAA